AACAGTGATTCTTAAGAATGACATGTCTTGTGACACAAGTGACTATATTTTAACATAAAATTCTTTCAATTTTACATACAGGCAAAAATGAGGGTTTTTAAAATTAAAGATTCAGAACATTATGTCATTTTAATAGCCAAATCTACCCATTTTTTCTTGTGGTGTCATACATAAAAATCAAAGTTCAAGGAGATTTTTCCCTGTTTTTCCTCAAACTACAGATCTTGAAGAACTCACTGTTTTCATTACACGATATAATGTGCCTTAAAGTCGTCACTGTCTACTAATATAGTTATTGTAACAATCTTTTAGTGTTTCATGGTTTATCTTTGTCCATCCTTTTATTTTTAACCTGTCTTCCAGCAAGTTTCTTGTACACAAAGGATAGTTGATTTTTCTTTTTAACTCAATCTGATAACACCTTCTAACTAGTGTGGACACATTTAAAGCGATTGTTTTACATCTGTTCCATCTGTTGTCTACTATTGTCTCCTTTTCTGTGTTCTCTTATATTAAACAGGTATTTTTAAGAGTTCTATCTTCTCTATTGCCTTACTTGTATCTTTTATATATTTTTTTAGCTGTTGTTCTATGGTTAAAATACACATCTATACTTAACCAGTCTAACTTCAAAAAATATATTGATTTATGTGGAGCACAATGACCCTATAGTATCCCCCATCCTTTGTATTAATGTTTTACTTTCTACTTTTACATGTATGTTCACTGTTTTCCCTTTACAAAAGCCTTTAGAACAATTAAAAATCAGAAAAAAGTAAATTTTGGGCCAGGGATTTAGCTCAGTGGTTCCGCCACTTGCCTTGCAAGCGCAAGGACCCAAGTTCGATCCCTGGTACCAAAGGAAAAAAAAAACAGAAAAAAGTAAATTTTATTCTATTTTCTTTTATTGCATTGCCAGTAGTTTTCATTTCTATAGACTCAAGCTTATCTGTGTGAAGAATTTCTTTTAAACATTTCTTATACAGCATATATACTGATGTTTTCTCGGCTGTTTCAGTGTATCTTTATTTCATTTTTATTTGAAAGATGTTTTGCTGGGTATAAATTTGGGATTGACAGCTTTTTCTTTCAGTAAAGTTGTCACTCAGTCCTCTTCTTGCTTGCATTCTGTTGTAACTCTTATCCTTTATTCCTATGCTCTTTCCCCCCCCCCACCTTCAAGGTTTTCTCTTTGGCCCTTTTTTTCCTTTAGTTTATATATAATATGCCTATATATTTTTTGCACAGGTTTTTAGTGGGTTTTTTTTTTTTTTTGCATGGGTTTTTAGGTGTTTATTCTGCTTGTATTCTGTAAGCTTGGATCTTTGTTTTGACACTAATTTTGGAAAATTTTGGTATTTCTTCAAATATTTCTTCTATTCTCTCTTCTGGGATTTCAATTATGCATATATTAAAATGACTAGTTCTGGTGGGTTTTTTTAAACATGTTTTTGTGGTGCAGTTGGGAATTTTTACTGACATATTTACAAGGATTCTTAGCTATGACAAATCTACCACCTCAAAGGTATTCTGCATCTCCTTACTGTTTTTCACATCTAGCATTTTTTTGATTCTTTGTTTTTCTCTGTTGAATTTACCCATTTCATCCTGCATTTTGTCTACTTTTCTGTTTCAACTTTTAACACAGTCAGTTTAAATTCCCAGTTAGATAACAATGTCTATGTCAACTTGTATGCATTCTGACAACTGCTCTTTCTTTTGGGAATTTCTATTTTCTTTTTTTTATCTTTTCATATGCCTCTCAATTTTTTTTTTTAACTAGACATGTGGTATAAGATAGCTGAGATGGACTGTAGAAGACTAGATAATTAAGGTCCTGGCCTAACTGACCTTCTCTGCAGAACAAAAGAAAAAAACAGCAAACTCTTCTTGTTTGGCAATGTGCAGGCATACTGGCTGGAATGTTGCAAGTTCCAGAAAAGAGTCAATACAGCTGAGATCTGGATATTTACCTGGGTACACCCTATAGATAACAAGAGGCAGATGAATCTTCCATTAACCTAATTGCTTGCTCCCTTGTCTAAGTGAATAAAAGCGAGGTGAGCCAAACACTTAGGGCTCTTTGCCCACTACAGGCAAGAGCTCCCAGTCCCCTCATTCTAAATTATCTCTGTCTCTGTGTCTTTAATCTCCGTTCACCCCCTCCAGTTAGATATTCCTAACAGGCTGGTCTCCTGCATTGGAGGCATCTTTGCATAATCTTGTGCCTCTTCCAGTAGATTTCTGTGATTATGGTTACTTATTCAAAGCTTCTTAGCATGGTGGTGGGGGTTAGGGATGCAGTCTGCTGTTCTGATCGAGGTTCAGTCTAAGTCATATACTAGGTCTCTGGATCTCAGAGGTACAGCCTTCTTGTTTCTCCGGACCCTCCCCTGACTGCAGTTTTGGGTTAAGGGCCTCTCTCCCCATAATATTCTTTCTCTCTTATTTCATCTCCCCCAGCTCAGTGAATTTTTACCAGTAGGGCCAACAAGGATGCCCTTCCCTCCATAGATTGGAGGGAAGTTTTGTTCCAGAAGAGAAAGCAGAAAATTGAGCAGTTTCTTGACCCTCTAAAAACTTCTCTTGATATTTCCCTCCACTAGGCCTGCATAACAAGATACTCCCTGGGTTGGGCTGTTTCCAACCTTTTGTAGGCATATAACTAGCAAAGTTTGTGGATAAAGAGCAAGACAGTGCACTCAGTCTTCATCAATTTGTTAGCTACTCTAAAAGAACTCTTCACAGCTGACCAAACCGAAGGAAGCCAATTATGCATATTTTAAATATTACAATTATTTGGTATAAAAAGGGAATCTTCAAAAACCACTGCTGTCTGTCCCGGATGCAGCTCAGTGTTGCCATGTCTGCCTGGCAAGCACAAGGTCCTGAGTTCAATCCCCAGTACCAGGGGAAAAAAAATAAAAACAAAAAAAGCCCAGTGCTTACAATTATACCTAGACATTCAGTGGGCAATACATAAAGCAGAGGTGTCTGGCCTTTAAATCCTGAAAGCCTGATTTACCTACCTCCTTTTTGTTGCTATTACTATTCTTGTGTGCCTTGACCTGTGTACAGTGCTTTTGTCACCCTGGCAGCTTTCTTGGGCTGTGTTATACCTTTGTTGGCATAGTCCTGCCCTGAGCACAACTTCCTGTGATTGTAAAGAAATGTATCAGCTGACTACTTACTAAACAAAAATTAAATAAAAGAGCCAGGCACGGTGGTACATGCCTGTAATCCCAGCACTTGGGAGGCTGAGGCAGGAGGATCACCTTGAATTCAAGGCCAACATGGACTGCATAGCAAACTTTGTCTCAAAACAAAACAAAATAAAAGGGAAGCTTTATCGGATCTGATAAAGTTGAAAAAAACTGAATCAAAAGCTTATTTCCAAACAACTCTCCTTTAGCCACCTTCAAACTATCACCATTTTAGAAAAAGAGGAATATCCTCCGTAAGTGGAATACAAATACTGTTATTTTCCAAAAACTGAACTCTAGTCTTTAAGGTTATTTACATTCTTGTTTCTTAATAACGGACTCTTTTCTTCCCTAATATGTCTACTTCCTGCTTTCAAACGAGTACAATACAATTTCTAAATAAAGACCTATGTTCATTGAACATATTGTAATATTAATAGCCCAGGTCACGCTTGAGATATAGCTGCTTAAACACTGTTTCACATTTAAAATATTAATATGGTTTTATGTTATAACCTAAATTAAGCGAAACAACGAAGCACTTTGTAGAAACCAAAGAACTGAGATCCAGTGTTTTCAGGATACTACATGTCTGACTAGTTCCTATAAATTTTCCTTTTTTTTTTAAAGGAAGTCCTGTTTCATATTCCCATAAATCCACAGATGACTGGTAATATACTAGAAAACCTGACCCCTGTGAATCATTTCCTCAAACACTGTAGATGGTACTTTCAAGCATAGAAATCTACCAAATCCATAAAATGAGAAAGAAAATACTGTGAAAAAAGGCAATCACTAGGAGCAGTTCCTGAAGAACTATCTTGAAATTTTACCAGTTTTCGAAGATGCTTTATTCGAAAACGCTCAAAATAACTTTACTGAATAAAACCTTTCACAGAGGATCCAAGAGCTTCTTCAGGTAGACTCTTTTCAGGGGAGGCAGGGTGGGGTAAAGGAAAAAAAGAGAGGGAAATGGAGAAATAATTATTTTGGAGACCACCAATGTATTAGGGGAGATTTTTTACTCCTCTCTCCCAGCAACTGATAGAGGAAATAATTTCAGGACAAATGTGATTAACACCATACAATAAGGGAGAAATTTAAAAGACAATCTTCTCAGGTGTAGTAAGTCAAATCTGCGTTTATCAGCGACTTTCCGAGGGATCAAAGTCCTATTTCCCCCACTCCAAAGGGTACATTCAGAGGTGAAATCGCAGCAGCTAAAGAAAGACTACTGTGAATAAGTTACCTTGCAGGAACGAAAACTCTAGAGGGGAAAAACTTGATTTTGGAAAAGGGAAAGACTGTAAGAGACGACGCAGCTGTTTCCAACAAAATGAAACAAAGCTAAGCAAAGAAACTAAGCGAGACGCAGGCAGAGAGAGGATCGCTGACCCAACGAAACAAGTGGCCGGCATCCAGCCGGAAGGGTGCTAGGGCTATGAGTCTGGAAGGGAATCCCGAGGGCGGAGCCCACAGGGGCACTTGAGGTGTGTAGATTAAGGATGTCCTACGGGAGCAGGGGACCTACCTACCCTCGGTGGGCAGGAAACAGGAAAATGAGACAAAAAGTGGGGTGGGGCCGAAGAAGCAGGGCTGTGGCCTGGACAACTGTCAGTCAGAGAAGGGGTGGCCCGACGGAAGGACCAGCAGTCCAGGGGGAAGATAATCCGCTTCCCTTAGCGGCGGCGGCCACAACACCACCACCCTTTTCCCGGCCCTGAAACTCTCCAGTCCCCGCAGCGTGAGGAGAAAGGGGGCAGAGTCCCAAAGACTAGCGCCCAGAGTCGGCTTTACCTTTGCGGGAGGCTGGAGAGGCTCCAGCCCGGGCTCCTCCCGCCGCTGGTTCTGCGTCCAGAGAGGGATGAGGCGCCCTCCGGCCTCCTCCCTGTCACCACTTTCCCTTCACGCCGCTGGGGCTGTGCAGCTCAGCTGCCGCGGGTTCTCGGTGCCGCCGCGGCGCTGTCTCCCCGCCCCCTTCCGCCTCTTTCCTCTGCCTCTCAGAGGCTCACTCTGGAGGCCGCCATCTTCGCCCAGGCTTCTAGCACCGCCCTCTAATACGCCTGCGTTGCCACCGCCCAGGCTGTCACGAGACCCAGTCAGCTGATTTAACGCTTCCGCTTTCTGTCCCTCCCCTTTCCGTTCAATTCCCCGCCCTCGCTGTTCCATTCGCTCTCTTCCGGGAAATGCCAAGTACAGCCGGCAATCGCACAAGCGCCCAGTACCGAGGTCGGCCGTGGGTTCTGGAGACCACTCTGCGCGTGTGGAGTTGAGGATGACACGCGGCCAGGACCATGCCCCTGGGCGTGTTCTCCAAAGGACACTGTCCTTCTGTGTGAGGAAGGAAGTAGCTCTGTGGCTCTGGATTTTCGCTCTTAGTTGCACAGAGTCCGGGTATGAAGCATTGCTTAGCTCTAACCCTTAACTTCGAGTGCCGTGGCGCATCCTCAAGACCCGTTTGGCTGCATTGGGAGCCAGCCGGTTTACTCTACCCAGACGCCTAGAAGTACAGCTGAGCAGAGTTTAAGTTTTGGGTGGTCTAGGAAGTCGTGGAGACCAAAGCCTCAGAGCTGCCTCAGCCTTTGTTAGTGGGAATTCTGGACGTGTCATAGTGATAGTTCCCGTTTATTGTCTACTGATCACGTATATGGTTGGCGTAATACTGCTTAATCCTCCAATGCTCTGAGATAGGAATTATACTCATTTTGTAGACAAATTGAAGTTCAGTCTGAATAAAAGTAATTTGACTAGATATTGTGTCCCTGAACCTATGTTGAGAGCTGGAAGGTGGAATCAGAATAGCGAAAAGAAGGAATACAGTATTGGGAATAAATGAGGGTTCCGCTGGGAATTCTGTGTTATCTGTACTCGGTGGTTTAATTAAGAAAAGTCAGTGCCTCCCAGACCTGAACGGCAAAGATCACAGTTAAAAAAAAAAAAATCAATGGTTCTGCAGCCCCCGCCCCGCGCCCACTAGGGATTGCACATGGCCTCATGCGTGCTGGGCAAGGTTCTACCGCTGAGCTATATCCCCAGACCTTGAGTTTTATTTTGGGAGAGGATCTCACTAAGTTTCCCAGCTGACCTCAAATTTGTGATCCTTCTGCCTCAGCCTGCGAAGTAACGGGTTACAGATGTGCACCACCAAGGTTGGCTCTGCTACAGGCATAAGACATACAGTGCAGGGTGATTTGCACGGATATATTATTTTGAGGGTTAAAGTTCTCTGATAAGGAGTTTAATATACTTTGTGTATAGCAGTCCTGAATTTGTAATGTCTTGGGGTCTCCTTCAGTCGTTGATTTCCATATGATGATTGCAGGATGAAAAGTGGCTCTTATAGTTTGCACCTTGATTTTATTGACCTGTTGCAGAAAAAGACCGTTTGTGTTTATCCTTGGAGTAGATTTTCCTGTACTGCAGCCGTGCGATAAGGTGCATGTAAGGGTAGATATCAGGAATATCTGAGTGTGAAGTATGAAGGGAGGAGAACAAAAAAAAGTCGGGGGCTGAGTTAAAGGGGCCTTCTCAGCTCATCCCATGGAAACAGAAACTTGTGTTTATGTGGCTTTTTATGGGTAACAAATCCTTCCAGTAATCTCAGAAGTAGATGTGGGTTTATACAATGGAAGAAGCCAGCCCAGACTGTCCAAGAGACTTATTTGCGCAAGGTGACTGCCAAGATACAGTCACAGGACCCCTAACCTCAAAACCAGTGAACTACTAAACCTCCACACTGTCTTTCTGTTCAATATGCAGGACCAATAAAATAAATTCTCAGAATCTTGAGTAATATGAACTGCCTCGGTAGTGGAAAATTTCCAGTCTCCCAAGACAGCTTTTCTCATTCCATTTATGGAAACCACTTTCCTTGTATTGGTCCAGTTCAGTTTGCCCTTTCTTCCATGGGTAGCATTTTCCCTTTTTTTCTTCTGTCCTTTTCCTCTTTTATGCAGTTTTACTCTAAGTGCAGCACTTACTCATTCAGATACTCACCCCTTCCCACTGCCTGTCCCTCTACCCCAGCCACAGATTCTCATAGGTCTTTGTCTCTTTGCAGTACTGGGGAGATTAAACCCAGGGCCTTTGCATTGAGCTATACATCCCCAGCTAATTTTTTGGTTTTTATTTTGAGACAGGGTCTCACTAAATTGCCCAGGCTGAGCTCAAACTTGTAATCCTCCTACCTCAGCCTCCCAGACAGTGGGGATTACTGGTGTGTGCCCCTGCATGCAGCCAGATTCTCATTCTAATAAGCCACGTTCCTAGAGCTTTCATCTGCTGTTGACAAGATGTGTCCCAAGCCTTTTTACTGCTCCCCTCCCTGGTTGCTCTTAATGGGATTTGTACAAATTTGCCAGTATTCTTAAAACACTAGAGCTAAATAGGAGTCAGGGAGAGTAGGAGGACTTGGCTCTTTTCCTAGTCTTCTGTTAAATTCATTTTTGCCCACACCCTGCTCTGTTTTTAAAAAGTGGCAAATTCAAAACACATTCAAACTTTTCTATCTGAATTTATCTTTTTATTCAAAATCCAAGTTTGCAGTAGATTTTTCTAATACTTTAATAGTGCAGCTACATCAAATTTACAATCCAAATTATGTGGTACACACTTGTATTTCACAGCTTTAAGAAATACATTTTACAGCTTTTTGGAACAGTAGCTTTTATCAGTCTCCTAAATTAGCATTCAAGGCAGGTGAGGTTTAAGATTTTAGAAACCCCACAGGCAAACAAATTGCTGCTAAATTGACCTTCCTAAACCAGACATGGTGGTGCACACCTGTAATCTCAGCACTCAAGAGGCTGAGGCAGAAAAACCAGCAGGAATTTGAGGTCAGCTTGGGCTATATAGTGAGTTTAAGGCCAGCTTGGACTACACAAAAAGAGATAGTGTCTCAAAAAAATAAATACATAAAAGAAAAAAAAAAGAAAATAGTCTTCGTAGCCAGACATGGCGGCCCACACCTGTAATCCCAGCTTTTGGGGAGATTGGGGCAGGAGGATCACAAGTTCTAGCCCAGTCCAGGCAATTTAGCAACTTAGTGAGATCCTGCCTTAAAAAATAAATAAATGAAATATAAATGAAAATAAATGAATAAATAAATTGACCTTCCTAGTGATTTTAATTCAAGATCCAATATAAGTCCTGAAGAACTCTTTGCCCCTCCACAATAGTTGAACTGTTTTAATAGTTGTGAGGCTACTGGATAGTTAAAATTATGTGGAAAAAATGTACAATGTTGTATTCACTATTTTTACTGATACATGCATTAAATTTTAAAACTATTCAATGATATAGGTTGGACATTCTTTAATTGGAAAATCTGAAATCATAAATGCTCAAAAATCTGAAATTTATGTTAGCACTTTAAAAGTTTCAGGTTTGAAGCATTTCAGATTTTGGGTTTCTGAATTAGCAATGCCTAACTGATAAAAATCTGTACAGATTCTCCAAAATCCTAAAAAAAAAATCTATAATCTGAAACACTTGTGGTTGAAGCATTTCAGATAAAGGATACTTAACCTATGCTTATTGAAGCATGGTTAAGAATACTTTAACCAGGACCATTGCAGTGGGTTCTTGCAGTGAGGGAGAGAGCTGTGGGTCAAGTGAATAACCAAGGAGAAGTGTACAGGTGGTGGCTGGAAAATTACTAAATAGTAGTCCCCATCTGGGTGAGTGGTATGCTGGCTGAACCCACCTGATAGAGTTCTTGCTTAAAACAGAATAGGGTAATGAGATATCACCTGGCGGAAGGTGAGCAATGAGGAACCTAACCAGGTATCAAGGATGATGAGATACTCAGGATGAGGGTGTTCTGGCTAAACTGATTTAGCTTGACTTTTTTTGCTAAAACTGATTTTTACCAGGAAGTGCACAGATGGGCCTAGGAGTTGGTTCAAGAGCCTAATCAAAGTTCAGCCAAGCAAGAATCTTTATTCTGTTGTGCAAATGATAATATTATGAATATGTTTGATTAAATAAAATACATAATTGAAATTAACTTCACTTGTTTCTTTTTTAAATGTAGCTGCAAGAAAACAAAATTCTGTTATGTCTCTCTTGAACAGTGCTGTTGTCAGAAACTCTTGTGCAGACACACAGTGTCAGAAAACACTTCAGTTGAGTTGGTGACATAATAGCCCACAGAATCATTTGTGGTCATTTTTTGTCTTCAGTTGTTTTCCTCAAAGTTTATCTTGCTCTGTAGAGTGATTTTTTTTTGCACTCTTCCATAGTAATAATTGTATAAATTTACAATGGACAACATATAATAAATTATGATATGAGGATTTATTGACATATATACATATACTTGCTTATGTATAGTTTCCACTCTTCTTTTTTTGTTTTTGAAAGTCACAGCCTGCCTTCCCTTGTCACTGAGACCTTCCCCTGGGAAGGTCTATTTTTTACTACTCTAATTTTTATTATTAATGTGAGCTACAATGTCTTTTTAAATAGTGTAATGATGTTTATATATAAAAGATTTTGTACTAAAAACATGCTTTCATTTAATTACGGGAAACTATATAGATTTGACCATATTATCAAAGATGGATGAAGACAGGAGAAAGTACATATTCCGTGGTTTAAAAATTTTAAACTATTATTGAAATTTTAACTGATTGAAGAAAAACCCTGTGGTCTCTTATTAAAATTAACCCAACTGTTCTTTTGCAATATATATATATATATATATGAATGAGATTTTTAAATTCATATATTCTTCCCAGTTCATTCAAACATTTTCAGTATTACTATATTTGAGAAAAATCTAGAGCCTTACATATTTTTCCATAAATGGTTTGCAAGTGAGCAAGAGTTCCAAATCTGCTATGAAATTATTAAGACATTTTTAGTCATCATCATTTGAAGGTGTTAGACCCAGTGAGAGAGAACCAACCACAGACCAATATTAAATCCACACAGGAGTTTATTACTGGCTGGGAGCCCAGCCGAGCACTGGACTCCAGCCCCAACTGTGGGGAGGCAAACATGTTTTATACACCTTTGAGGCCAACAGTTTCTAGGACCCCCTGTGGGATAGAACTAGTAAAGCAAGC